CCACTGCCATTAATTAGGAGCAGTGTCGAAGCAAAAACATTTAAAATAAACCTGGGCCCTGGATGTTAAAGCTGTCATTTTTTACATGGCCTCATGATTCAACGATTAATGGACCTTAAAACAATCATAAAACATCAAGGCCCTCTCTCAGGCTTAGAAGAACAAGAATAGTTTCACTTCCATTCTAGTTGTCTTGTTTTAAATTCATTGGGTGTCACTGGGCTCTGTAAACACTTTTAAGTATTTTGACATTGTGCTATGAGATGCTGTTAATCTGTTTCCTTCCTGACCTTCATTGGCCAGCAGCATCTTGAGACTTAGTGGAAAATGTATGAAAAACAGCAAGGATGTACCCAGTGACATCGATTAGGACACAATAAACCTAAATAATAGCTATATTGTGCAGATTCCGATTCAATAAATGAACTCACCAAAAACTAAGCATCTAGTTCATGCCAGGTACTTGGCGGGTACTTGCATATAGATCATGCTTTGTTTGTATAATCTGCAGCATAAACATTTGGGGTCTGTGTCTGTGTCCCCCATTTAATAGATGAGCACACTGAGGCCTGACCATGAGGTTAGTAAGTGGCAGAGGCGGAATTCAAAACCATATTTTCTGATTCCCTCTGAAACAACCTTTCTTTTCCAAGATACCCCTGCAGGATATTAACCTTTTGGTGAAGGCGGGTGGCAGCCTGCATATTTCAAAAGTGGATAGGGCAATGTTTCCAGTCCCATATTCTCTTCCAGAACTCTCTTGTTGCCCCATTAAGAGGTGGAGTCTGTTTCCTCCCCTGTAAACCCAGGCAGGTCTTTGTGACTACCTGGACAAACAGAATGCCAAAACATCAGGACTACATAATTTCTGCAGCTAGGTCACAGGAGGCAATGCAAAGAGGCTGCCATATTGTGAGGAAGCCAAATTACATGGAGACAAAGTGCAGGAGCCCAGGGGGGAACCCCCAACAAAGGCCTCAGCTACAGTCAGCATCAGCCCCCCAACGTGTGAGTAGACAGTCCTCAGATGCTCTCAGCCCCCAGCTTTCAAGCTGCCTCCACTGATGCTGATTGGCACAAACAAACTACTCCTGAACAACCTTTCTGAAGCTCCAGATTCATAAATAAAAGAAAAGTTGCTGTTTTAATGCATGAAATTTGGGGTGGTTTGTTATGCAGCAGTTGTTACTGGAACACAGTCAGACTTTAATGAAACTCTACAGAAATAGGCAAATGCCTTAATTCCCTCATCAAAGATGTCCAGTGGCTAGATGATGGGTTCCTGCAGAAGAAATCCAGGGAGGAAAAAGATAAAGATTTTGGCTGTAGGGAAACACTGAGAATTTGGAAAGCTTATTATGTCAGGGAATTAAATGGAACATTTGAAGGAGAAGAAAACAGAGTGCCTAATGAATATACCACAAAGTTCAGATTTATGGGATTGTACATTTATTGCTTTGACTGTTAAGATCTATCTAGAGTCTCCAGTGGCTTTGTACTAATTCACGAGTTTGGCTCTAAAAGATTTCCTGACTAAGTGGATTCTCCATTTCTGTCTCTTGGGCGTATAGGGTGGCACTGGAGTTATTCCACAATGTTCAGAGGATGAGAAAAAGTTCTTGACGTGCTCGAGAGGGTCCCCAAAGACAGGACATTTTACTCCCCCTTTTCACAGTTCCTGGCACTTTTTCTGGCAGTTTGGGGAAGAACCAGAAGAAAAGCCGGATATCCTAATGGAGACACAGCCACTCTAACAGTTTAAAGGAGGTTGGTGCAGGGTGGCAGTGACTTCTATTTGGCACTCATTCACAGGCTTCACCATAATGAGGAGTGGTTATATCCTAGCAGTGAACAGCCTAACAATCCAATGTGGAGCTCGCCCTTGCCTACCCAGGTGACCCGGGTCCCCGTCATCTTGTGTTCCACTGTCCCAAAGCACTGGGAAATGCATCAGGTCTCCCTCAAATACACTTTCCTTTCTTGGTTCAAGTCCCTTTGCTTACCTTGAGCATTTCATAGTCTAATTCTCCAGTTTTGTCAGTGATATTCTTAACTTTATTTATATGACACATAAATATTTTTATTTTTAAGATGTGTTACAAATATCAGAAGAAAAAGGCATCTTGCATGAGCTTCCTAAACACAGATGAGAGGCATCCATAGGCATGAGGAGTAATATTTAAGTCTTTCAGGAGCTGTTACTTTTAAAGAAATTTAGATTAATTGGGCTGCTTTTAAAACCTGTGATGCTGCCACGGTTACATCCTTAGAATCACAAAATGCCTAAGGTATAAACAGGATTTTTTTTTCCTTTTTATTGATGGCTGTGAATTTTCTCTGCACACCTGTACTATCAAGGTAACTTTTGCCATAAACAGCATTTTAAAATTATCACATAAAAAACTATCAAGCACTAAATTAGAAAAAAACAGAAATTTGAAAGTGATAGTTAAATTTATGAAGCAATTCTGCTACACTCAAAGGCTCATTGCTTGACATGTAAAAAAATTTTGAGCTGCATGTAAGACCTGGGTATGAATTTCTCTCCAGTGGGGGAACCACAATCCTCACCAGGCTCCTAATGAGAGGAACATGCAGAACAGAGGCGCTGCGGATGTGCCCTTGTTTGCATGACTAATGGAGATAATATTAAAAATCTTTCTCATCATTTCAATTCTTTCATTTTTTATTTTTTTTTTTATTTGGCTGAGTGCCTTTTTTGCTACCTCCAAGAGCTGTTAATTTTGTTCGCTGCTGAGCAAAAGTCAAAGTCAGAGTCTAAACAGCTTGTAATGAGTTTTCAATGGCCCATCTCAATGAAATTGAGGGCAAAGACCAGCGGGCTCAGGCAGTGTCAGCCCTCAGAATTTATTAGCGAGGGCACATTGTGTGCAGGGGCAGGCGCAGAGGAGGGACTGAAGTTCCCAGGCTCTTCCAGATGAGCCCAGCCCTTATTAAAAACTGGTGACAGCCACAGGTCACACACTCGCAGGTCTATTTGCTGCCAAGCTCCAGGCGGCAGGTCGTACCTGATCTGGATTGGAGGGAGCAGTCACCTAGAGGAAAGCAGGGCGTCCATGCACAGTGACACAGTTGTTCCCATTCTCCCATCCCATCCTCAATCAGGGAAGAAGGAGGTGCTCCTTGGTTCCTCCAAGATGGCCCCAAGCCATCCCCCTCACTCCCACCACAGCCTTCATCTGGTGCTGGTGATTTGGGCACAGTGGAGCAGTATGCGAGGTTTGAATTCTGAGTTTTATTTGTTCAATTCTGAAATTTCTCCACTGCACCACTTCTAATAGTCACCCTATTATTTGTCTTCAAAAAATAATCTTGAAACCCATACAACGGTTTTCTGCACAAATACAAAAATCTCCACATAAAACGGAATCCTTTATGAGTCTGGCAAATTCTATCCTAGAAATGGAGATCATTTTGACAAGAGATTCTTTGGCCAGAAATGCTCTGCACAACCACCAACATAATCTGCAGGAGCAAGAGGTGGTCTGGGGAGGAAGGAGCCTTACTCCTTCACAGCTGCCCATTGGGTTCAAGGAGGACCCCGTGGACTATGGGTACAGGACTGACTTTTCCTGTGAGCAGAAGAAATTAGGACAGTTGCATCCTCAAAGACCAATTTTTATATCATTGATATAAAATGATGATTGATCCCAATACATTTTCAAGAATAGAGAGTGTCTACTAAATGCCAGCCACTGCTCTGGATGCCAAGGATTCTGTGGCGGGCCTGTGATCTGGGATGAAAGCAAACTCACCTTTCTTTCACTCATGCTTTCCTTCAACCATCTATCTATCCACTGATTCAGTCACAGACCACACTCACACAGATTTCTTCATCAGGTATTAGGAGCAAAGCTGCAGACCTAATTCCTGGGGGAGGCGGGGGGCGGAAATGGTTGTTTTCTGCCATCATTTAATTGAGACTCAAGCAGAACATAAAATTTCAGATTAGTAAAGTGGATTTCCAGAGCCTGCTACGAGCCACTGGCCCTCCAACACTCACCTTCTTCCACTCACTTCCCTTCAGAGACCCACCCTGATCACTTAGTGCCAGTTCAGGTCCCTGCCCATGTCCTGCGACATTGCTGGGAAAATGAAACACACATTAACCATCTTCTACGGAGCCTGGGTAAGAATGTCTTGTATCTACCCAGTAAATATCAGTCAGAATAAACCAAACAAACCACATGCAGAAATTCCTCTTTGTGTTTAATATGTCTGTATATTTTAAAAGCATGCCTGATAGAAGAGCGAGATTCACTCATATGCACACTCTAAGTCATTTTTCACAATGACCAGAATGCAAATAATAACAACAACAGGCAGCCACGGCGGAAGCAATCGCTGCACGCCAAGCTCCGAGATGGTCCTTTACACGCATCATCTCATTTAATCCTTTGCAAGTCAGGTTCCATTTTTATCCCATTTCGCTGATAAAAGGTTGACAGAGGTTAAGCGATTTACCCCAAATCACAGAACCACTGCATTTGAGTACAGGGAATCTGACTCAAAAACCTATAAAACAGCAACACTCAGTTTAAATTGTAAATCCTACGCAGCTTTCATCTTTTAAGCAAAAATTGAAATGTCCCTTTGCCTAAAAGGGAAAAGTCATCCATCTGTGTACACTAATGAGAGAGGACAGAGGGACATGTGTGGCCAGAAGCAACCTGTATCTAAACTCACCATCCACTTTAAAACTCTGGGGACAACTTTGGTTCAGGAATGAGGCAAAGGCGAGGAACTGTTGGTGTGGGTGAAAATCCAAGAGTTGCCATTAAGGACCAGATTCCTCATGGACCTGTGCATTCAAATGCCAGCGGCACAAATGCCCTCAGCGAGAGTTAACAAGACAGCAATTTTAAAAATGAGGGAGAGGATTTCAGACAAAACTGCCTTGAAAAGAGGAGTAAGAAAGCAGGAAACTAGTCGGTGGGCAACATAGATGCTCATTTTTAAATTTTCATTTTGTTTGGCAGAGCTTCTGCTGAGAGCTTGGGACTTCGTGATTCACCCTGGGGACGTCTTCACCACAACTCTCTCACCTGCCAGGTAATGGGTGGGGGAAAAGAGTCCACGGGGGGCAGGGTTGGCGGTACTTGCCCCACACTGATGGACGTTGGACACACTGACCTTGGCCACGAAGGCATTTGGGGTTTTGAAGACCTGCCTCGTGCTAAACAATGGCCTGGCTGGGCGCAGGGGTGCATGCCTGTAATCCCAGCAACTCGGGAGGCTGAGCAGGAGGATCGTGGGTTCAGAGCCAGGCCAAGCGACAGTAAGGTGCTAAGCAACTCAGTGAGACCCTGTCTCTAAATAAAATGGGGCTGGGGATGTGGCTCAGAGGTTGAGTGTCCCTGAGTTCAGTCCTGGTAATCCGCCCCTACCCCAAAAAGCAGCCTGCAGTAGGAAGCCCCTCAGATGTTTGCAGTTGAATCTGTGGACGTTGGCTTGTCCCCTGTGGCCAGCTGCTGTTGCAAGCCATTTAGGAAAGGAAGGGGTCTGCAAAGCTATCAGGGAGGACAGATTTTGCATGGCAACTTACCTCGAAGGCCAACTCTGAGTGCACCCAGGGCCCCGCCCCCTAGGCCTCCAAGTTTCCAGAAGGAGGAGATGCAGGGCCACTATATTACCTGAGAGTTTTCACGCCCAGAGTCTAGTGGCTCACATGGCGATGACCTGCAGACGTCACATGCCTCCAGCTGGCCATTCCTTCCCCAGTGGGAACTCAGAGCGACATATCTGTCATTGTGCTGAAACCCAGGTGCACAGTCACCGAAAACCCTGGACTCCCCCAGCTTTCCTCTGAAATACTGTGGCTGAAAAGCCCGACTTTTTGGCCACGGAAGAGTGAACATTTACACAATCATTAAAATCGCATCTACCACCATATTTTTCTCCTTCTCAGTTTTAATACATTTTTATAATTGCATTGAAGATATTCTAACCCTGTTTTTAGTGCAAAGATAAAATTTATGAACCGTGACAAACGTATCATCTCAGCGCCAACTCGACGGATAACAATGTGCGTGGTGAAGCCCAGTGTGCACCCCTTATGCCCATGTTCATGGGGTGGGAGACAGAAGGAGACCTCCAGAACCCCAGTCTGCAAATTCTGGATGCAGGGGAGGCTCCCAACTCCTCCCCAGGATTCAGGACGCTTTTCAGGGGAAGTATTCGTTTGTGCAAAAATTCTTCTAAAGTCACATAGTTAAACTTGGACTAATACGCATTTTAAATTTTTATGTTGGGTGTTACCATGGTTCTGTCCCCACGGCAAAAGGCACCATATTAGATTTTAATTCCCAGTGACTCAGCCACTTCCCTGTACCTTATCCCACATTCCCTTTAGAGCGTGAAGGGGCAGCGCAAGGCAGCAGGAAGAAAGGCAGAGTCCAGGCCAGCCACACCAGGGCCCGGGATCACTCGACAGGCCACTGCAGTGCCACCTCCTGGGCCTGCTCCCCTTCCTCCCTAGATGCAGAAAAACTGGAGGAGATTCTTGACCTCTGAAATGAGATGTCACATGAATATGATTAAGAACAGAACACCTCCAAGCTTTCCATCTATATGATTGGTGAGAAGATCAATTTCATAAGAAAATCTTGAATGCTCATGAATTCTGAAAAATCCAGCAATCACAGACGTTTGAACTCATGTTCACAAACTCCGGCAGACCCCAGGAAACAGAAAAGGAGATCTGTCGGCCCTGGGGCTTTCCTTCGCCCTTGCAGAGTGTGCCCCGGCTACGCGCTCTCGGCCTAACTCCAGATGAGCTTCTTGGCCTTGCCTCCCTCCTCCTGGAGAACGGCGGAATTTTACTCCTTTCCCAACTTTACAGAACAGCCTTGCATAAGGCACAAATGCGGGGACCATAATGAAGTGGAGGTAATCCACATCGTTTAAAGACACTTATTGTGACAAAATGGATGGGCGAGGTGTCGGCAACACAGGCACACATAAATGAAACGCATCCCACCGGAAAAGCATTTTGCTCACATTGTCATTTACGGCTCCTGAATTAATAGACCACGAAAGGCACCACCGGCCCCAACAAAATGCCATAAAACCACTGGCAGCTAGTGGTGTCTCCAACTTTAATTCCCCTGGGGAGAAAAGGACACTGCCTAATCTGTATTCAGTCCTGACATTGGCCGCATCTGATATGGAACATTAGCTTCTAAGTCTCTCAATAGACTAGTGTCCTTCAGTTTATATTACTTTATGTTAATAGTAGAAAAATTACACACAACATCATTTATCATTGTTATACTCTGCTATACATCCCAGAGCTTACTTTAATATATTTATTTACCCCTGAGACAGGGGGAAATTAAAAATATATATGTTTCAAAAAAAAACCTATAGGGAAAACATCAATGTAAATCTCTAAAACACACACACTCACACACACACACACACAACTCCCTTGGGTTTGGGGGAATCTATTGTACAGCTCAGCTTGTGAATGATAACATGTCTCTGCCTAAGGACAACAGCCCAGTGCACGGTGATTCCTGGGACGAGTACGTAACAAAAAGAAACGTATTAATGATAATAGATCTTTTGTCCCCTCGTCTCCCCTAGTGTTTTTCATGTGTCAGTTTTTATCCTTGGGTCCCTCTAGTTCAGTTATTAGCTTTTTTGACATCTGACCTCTAGCTAGGGAAAGGCAAGAATTTCTGTTCTGTTTTTTTTAATCCTTTGGGAAAGCACTGTCAACCGGAGCCTGACTTCTACTGTTTTGACCCAGATTCCACAAGCATGGAGTGCCAGCTCGTGTGGGTTGAAAAACAACCAGGCCACGGCTGTGCACAGGCCCTCCCTTCCGCTAAGCGGTTCTGCCCACACGAGGCTTTGGTGAGAGCAGCCTTGTCAGGACCCTCAAGTCCCCATGGAGCACGGCAAGTCACCCCTTCTCCCTGAGCCTCAGTTTCCTCAGAAACAAAAGAAGCTGGGACGATGTGAGCTGAGCCTCCTCATGGCTCCCTTGGGTTTCTGGCCCAGAGACGCGTCTATGATACTATTCATTCAAGGAAGCTGGACGGATGTTCCCAGGTTTCAGAAGAGCCCAAAGAAGCTCTGGAACACTGGGGTGGCTAAGGGCCCAGGTTGGACGTGGGGCCCAGCAGCCACATGGGAAGTGGAACAGCATGGCCCAGAGAGACCTGCACAGTGAGGGGATGGGAATGGGCCCCCTCCGCATCTGAGGTCATGCCTGCCGGGTGGCCTGTCGGGTGGCCTGTCGGGTGGCCTGTCGGGTGGCCTGCCGGGGCGCCTGTTTCTATCTGACTTGTATTAACTCAGTTTTAGCATTTCAAGTGCACACCTTCATGATGCAGTGGGGGGTTATAAAATCTGCCCTTCCAGTCTTGTCCTGGGTCAGCCCTCCCCTGAGCATCCCACAGACTGTCCTTTCACCCACACTTAGGGAGAAAGGCCAGGCAGGTACAATGTCCCTAATTTCATTGATAAGGAAATTTGAGATTAGAAATACTTGCTGAGAAGCCTGAGCTCTTGAAGCAACGTCTGGCTGGAGGGCTGAGCCGGGGACTGGAGCCCAGCCCTGGCTCTCCGCCCAGGCAGGCCTCTCTCTAATACACTGCAAAGATATCAATAAACAGCTAGATCTGAGATCTGTGACGCATGTGGACAATAATTTTTTTCCAAAAGGCAAAATAAAACTAGCACCACCTGCACAAGACTGTGCAGTTTAAAAGCAGTGTGGTAAGTGATGGACACCAGACAGCAAGCGAGCAGGCGTGTGCTGCTGAAGACCTGTCTCCTAGCTCTGCAGGCACCAGGGACTCCATTTCCCAGGATGCCCTGCAATGGGCATGGCCACATGACAAGCTGTGACCAATAGAAAGTGGGCAGAAGTGATCTAGGCTTGCCCCATAAAGCCTCCAGGGAGCCTTGTGCTTTGTGTTCCCTGCCTGGTGTCTGGATGTGGGGGACCCAGCAGAGGATCTGGATGTTCTAGGGACAGTCAAAGAACAGATGTCAAAGCCTGGGAGAAGGCGTCTCAATGTCTACATTGATTGTTATTTGAAACAGAAATGCACTCTGGTCCCAGGACTTGCCAGCTGCAGCAGTTGGTCAACCTGATTAAGGGAAGGTGTGAAGGAAAGAAAGACGTGTTTCTAAATACAATGAGAGGGCACATCAAGACCCGTTCTTATTGCCAGACTTTAGTATTTACAACGCAGACAGACCCTCTTAGCCAGCATGGGTAGCACAGAGCCAGGGGCCTTGGGATCTTTAAGGACAAACACTCACAAAAGGTTCTCTGCCTTATCTTAGTCGTCTTCAATTGTCTTTTCCACTGATTTTCTGTTTTCACTTATTGCAATCTCATATTTTTTATTCCATTTGATACTACTAATGAGGATGGCGAGTTGCTACATGCCAGCCACTGTCCTGGATACCCTGTCTGCAATGTCTCATTCCATCCTCATACATGGTGAGTAGATGGCATTGTCACCCCATGTCCCAGGTGAGAAAACTGAGGGTGAGAAATACCAGAGACTTGGCCACCAGAATGAATCCCCAGAATAAAGGAATGGAAATTCAAGGGCAAAGATGAAGAATTAGGACAGAGGTTGGAGAACCTTTCTGTTAAAGCCTGCAGGTGGGCCCTCGAATTCCAGGATGCCCTTCCCAGGGCAGTACCACAGAACAGCAAGGAGTCAGAAGGCCCAGGGGCAAAGAGCCAGCTTCCCTCAGGCTGCCTCTGCTGAAGTTCCTGGGCAAGTTACATGGGGTACTTTGCCTCAGTTTCCTTGGAAACTTGTGTGAAGCATGAATTACACGCTGCCCACAGAGCACGCTCTACACACTGCCTGACACACTGCACTCAATAGACAAGCAGCCCTTGCCGTCATCACCAGCAGCATCACTGTCCCCTCCACCACCAGCGGCACCAGCCTCCCAAACGCTACCTGTGCAATCACCAGGGAGCAAGACGCACTGGCAGCGGGTTCAAGACCAGCCTGGGCACTCCAGCACCCGTGACTGGAGGACTCCTTATAGTGATGATGAAATGAACTCATCAGCCATGATGTCTGCGTGTGCTGGGCACTGAGCTAACATTCAAAGGAAAGTGACGTCTTTGTCATTGCCCCAGCCAAGGGCAAACAGGTACCAGCAGCCATAATTGACAGTTTTGCGCCTTATGCTCACGCCTTCTGCTTTACTGTGGAGTCTACTGGGCTCACTAGCTGGAAGCATGGGTGTCCCATTGTCTCTGGCCCATGTGTCACCCAGAGAGTACCGCTAATGAGACCAGTAGGAGTAGTGGCAGTTACAACGTCAGCAGTGACAGCAGCAGTCATAACTTACAAGGGCTCAGTGGGTGCCAAGAGTGTGCTGGCCACATGAACACCTTACCTTGCTCACTCACCAGGCCGACCCGAGAGGGAGACATTATTTATCCTTTTTCGGGGGGCAAGGGGTGATGGGGAAACCGATGTTCAGAGAGTTTAAGTATTTTGCCTTATGGGACGCACATAGAAGGACCTGTCGTAGTCTTTTTGGGCTGCTATAACACGATGCCATCAACTGTAGCTTATACACAGCAGAATTTCATTTCTCACACTCTGGAGGCTGGGAAGCCCAGGGTCAAGGCTGAAGCAGATGCAGGGTCTGGTGCGGCCCTGCTTCCCTATAGATGCTATAATGATCTGGATCTGGAATGATCCCCAAAGGTTAAGTCCCAAAGGCTTGGCACCAGTCCTTGATGCTATTGGGAGATGGTGCAATCTTCAGAAGGCGGGGCTTAGTGGAAGAAGTGAGGTCACTGGGGCTGTGACCTTGAAGGGAATATTGGCCCCTCCTCTCTCTCTCCTTGCTTTCCAGCACCCTCAGGTAAACAGACCTCTTCCACCATGTGCTCCCACCATGAGGTACGACCATGGATGGAAACCTCTGAAATAAACTTTTAGTCTCTTTAAGTTGATTTTCTCAGGCATTTTGTCACAGTGACAAAATCTGACTGACATTGACTTTCATTTCATCATCTTGATGTGTCCTCATTAGCTAGAGATGGGGTAAAATCGTTCTCTGGGCCTCTTTGATAGAGGCACTAAGTCCATTTTGAGGTCTCCGTCCTTAGGATCTAATCAATTCTCTAAAGGGTCCACCTCTTATTGAATGTGTTTTGGGAGAAAACACAAACATCCAGGCCTCAGCAGGAGTTGAATCCAGACCTTTGTAACCAAAAGCCCATGTCATCAATCAGTTTGCATAGGGCAGGAGTCCTTCTGAGCCCTACCTGCCCAGCGCCCTCTGCCGTGTCAGTAATCGGCCATTGCTTTGACCTGGTTCTTCTTAGGAACTCTTCTAGGCTATGACTACCCCACTGAGGGGATGAACCGCGTTTGTAACATTTCAGAATGAAATCATCAGTCATTTCCTTAATGGCTGAAGAGTCTGACAAAATTTTTTTTCCTGTGTGCTATGTGATCACACTGCATAATATTTAAACAATAAAGGTTACCTCTCATGTACTATTGCTGTGTTTTATGCTAATAACCAGAATCATTTAATCATTATGAGCTAATGAGCTGCAAAATTTCATTTTAAAAATGAAGTCGTATCAGGGCCTCTGGAAGGCAAAATTGGATAAAAAATGAGGAAGGCCGATGTTCAATTTGTATTCGTGAATGGAGAGCGGCTGCAGAGCCCGCGTGGAAGCATTTGAGTTGAGCAGTAGGAGGAATCGTGCCCTGAACTAGAAGCAGGAAGGAAATTCTTCACCTTACAAGGCTTAGGGGCATCCGCCTGGCACCAAGGGAATAGAGATTCCTGTTCTGGCACCCAGTTCCCCACAGAGGCTCAGATGCATGACTTTCCTGCTGTCTGCAAGCCCTCCAGGCATCTAGCTTAGGAGACTGCTACACCTTGGCATCCCAGGGGAGCAGAGACCTGTGGGCCTCACAGCTTCCTGCCGTGACCCTGGTGAATGATCTGGCCTTCCCGGCTTCCCCTTCCCTGAACCCCTCCTTAAAGGCAGGTACTAAGCCATGCTCAGCCAGCCCACACTGTTCTGGAGAAGACTCATCTTAGATTTTTACTGGGGAGATGAACCTGGAGGCCTGTGAGTCACCCAGGCCAAAAGCCAGCCTCCTCCTTCCTTGCTAACTGAACTCGGATTCAGTTTGGGTGGCAAAGCTCCTGAAGCTGAATCACAGTCAGTCTATGCTAATCAGATTAATGTGCATGAATGGCCTTAGCATTCACCACCACTTACCTATGCCCTCTGCTGTGTGAACTTGCAGCGTCACAGTGGAGGCTGGAAAATAATTCCTTACCCCTAAATCTGACCCTATGATTCGCTTTAGTCTACAGGAAGCAGCACTGGTACCCCGTGGCTCACACTGGTTCACAAGAGCCACCTATTAAATCCTCAGGGACTTCACAAGCCAGTTGAAGTCATGATTCCAAGTTAGATTGTGTTGGTCCCAAAATTCATGTAGAAAGGGGCTCAGAATATCCAAAATAACCTTGAAAATGAAGAAGTCAGATGACTCACACATCGCAATTTCAAAACTTACTACAAAGTGATAGGTCTTTGGGAGGAGAGACTTGTGACATGCAGCAAGTATGTGACAAGGGTCCAATATCCCAACCAATACACAACTTATTACTCAAGCACAAATGATGAGCAGCCTAACTAAAAAAGTGGGCAGAGAGATTTCTACAAAGGAAATCCTCAAATAACCAGTAAGCACACAAAAGGGTGTGTTTGTGAGGGAAACACGAATCACAGTCACGAGGTACCACTTCACTCTTACCAGGACGGCTGTGATTTCAAAATCAAAACAAATGGAAATTGCAAGTGATGGCAAGGAGGTGGGGAGACAGGACCCCGCACTGCTAGCAGGAAGGCAGCATGGTGGTGCCACTGGAGGGAACCATTGCTAGCTCCTTTGAAAGTTAAATGCTTAGCTGTCATGTGACCCAGTAGGTTCATGCCTAAGTACAGATCCAAGAAAACAGGTGTCTACAACAAAACACATGAACCACCGTAGGTAGCAGCAAGATTCCGAAGACCTGAAAAGTAGAAACAACACAATGTCTATCAGCTGGCAGCTGGAGAAACAGAACACAGTGTTTGCATATGATGGAGTATTAAACACTTGTGAAAAGGGGTGAAGCTTGGCACGTTCTAGAACACAGACGGGCCTTGGAACCTTTTGTGGAGGGAAGAGGCGGGGCACAGAGGTCCCATCCTGTGCAGTTCCACTTACGTGGACCTTTCAGATGAGGCAAACTCACAGAGTAGAGATTCTCAGGGGCGGTGTAGACAATGGGACATGACTGCTCAGTGGACACAAGGTTCCTTTTGGGGGAAATGAAAATTCTCTGGAAGTAGATGGTGATGACTGTGGCCGCTGGGACATGGAAAGTCGCTGAATTCTCCACTTACGATGGTTAAGAGGTGACTCTCCTGTAGATTTTATCACATTACAAAATCTAAAGCACTTAGATTTTGTAATGTGATAAAAAAATGCCGGGGAGCTGCCATCTATAACCACGATCGCTTCAAAGGCAACGATGAGGGAGTGATGTGGCGGGGGTTGACAGCTGTGGGTACAGCTTCTTTTAGGGGACAGAGCTGCTCTAAAATTAGGCCAGGATGAAGAATGCACAGCCTGTGACCAAACTGCACACTTTAGGTGGGCCTACTGTTTACATCTGCATAAAACCACTGCTTGAAAAAAATGACTCATATGAGCTTACACCTAAATGATACTTGGACATGGAAAGTGAAAAAACAAAACCAAAAATCACAAAAAACTGTATGCATAAATAAAAAAATAAATAACAAATACTCAAAACTCATGACTTAAATTGTTTATTACTATTATCTATGCTGGAGAGCATGTATTTCTACTGCATTGTAAATAAGGACACGTCACTCCCAACTCCTTTGGTGATGTCACATTGATGACTTATAATTGGCCTCAGTACAAGCATTTATACCAGGGAAATGGGCAAACACTACAAATGAGGGTGTCACTTGTAGTTTTACTGATGCTCTAGACTTAAGAAACTGAAGTAAAAGCTATACACATACCTGTAATTCCAGAAACTCCGGAAGCAGGAGGGTGACAAATTGGAGGCCAGCCTCAAGCAATATAGGGAGAACATGTCTCAAAAAAAAAACAAACGGGGGGGAATGTAAAAGATGTTAATGATGCAGATAAAACTAACGTGTGTCATTTATAAAGAGGCTGCATTACGAACAGCATAAAAAACAAAGGAATATTCTTCCTGCATTCAGACACTATCATCCGACCAGCAAAGAAGTCACGGCAGGTGTGAATAAGTGGAGGGCAGACACATACCTTGGCTGTTTTACTTGCACCTGACTTGTTAGAGCAAATGAAAATACTCGCCCATTTTCCCTGTGATGGCAGGCAGGGCCACAACAGTGTTTTGGCAATGGATCCCCCTGCATGGCAAGAACCAGCCAGAACCATGGAGTGAGAATCAGCTCTTGGGCTTACGAGTAAGAGTATCGTGTATGGTGTCGTTGAGAGTCATGGCGACGTGTCCTGTACATCTGCAATCTGTAATAACCTGGCGCTCATGTGCCTGTGTACACACACTCACTTTTCCTTTCAGAAAGCCTGTTGTTACGTTTACCAGCACACCACTGGTGTAGGGCTGTGTGTTTCAGCCTGAGACCCCCTTGTGCCCCTAGAAACAGCCTTAACTGAGGTTTTCTCCTAGCAGCTGCTGCTCAAAGAAATATTCGGAGTAAGGTGCTCAAAGCTGCTGCTGAAGTGGCCATCTCTGCTGCAGAGTGACACTTGCCCCTGGAAGGCAGGAGGCGCAAGAGCCACCGCAGCCCTCCCCTCTGCGGGGAGCGCCTGCTGGCGAGAGACACTTCATCTTCCTTTACTTAATTCTCAGACAGCCAGTCACACTTGGTTATTGTTTTTAGTTTTACATACTAGTATCGAATTATTTTTATGCATGTTATTTCTCAATTAGTGTATTCCCCGGAGACGGTGCAAGCACGTAGGATTCTGCTCTCTCTGGCTATAATCACCACTGCCACTCGTGCCGCCAGGAGCTGGCTTCTGTTCTCTGGGCTGCTGCTGCCGACCTACCCCAGGGCCCCCTGACCAGCTGCAAGAGGGGGCACCTGGGTTTCTCATGTGGTCACAGGCTGTGAGTGTGACCTCAGTCGTGTTGGGAGGTGTGGGCTAGCACTCAAGAGGATACTGCCAACCAGGAGGACCCCTCGGCAGTGCTTGGGACCGACAGAGGTGGGTCCATCCCTAGGACGAGAGTCATGGCGAGCTTAGAGCCACAGGCCTCAGATGGAGATTTTAGGGGAATCACTTCCTAGGGGCAGCCAAAGCCAGCCGTGACAATGGGGACAACCTGGCAAAAACCTGAACCACTCCTGGGCACTTCGTGTATTGTCTCATTTAATTCTCAAAACAACTCTCTGAGGCATTGATTGCTATTTATTCCCACTTTGTAGATGAGGAGACTGAGGCTCAGAGAGGTCACGTGGCTGGCAGCTTGTCTTAGGGCCTCTGTGCCCAGCCGCTATACTGGCAATCTTCAAGTGGGTGAGAATGGCACCCAGCAGATGCCCGTGGGCTCCTGAGTGGGGAAAAGCCAGGCAGAGCCACAGATTTCTCGTTCTTCACTCTTCAGCTCCACTGAGGTCAAAGAGCTCTTGTCTTCTCAGGGTTACCAAAGGAGGCAGGGCTTGACCTGCCCTCCCCGTTCTGCTTCTACACTGGAGCCCACATCCTCTGAGCTTCGGTTATGAGGACCAAGGGGTTGAAGGAGATGCAAGTGAACTGGGAACAGCAATGGTCCTGACCTTGGAGGGTGGCCATGAGGATTCAGTGTGTCACTACATGTGAGGAGCCACGGTCAAAGAAGGTTCTACGGACCTCACCGATATAACCGTCATTGCCACAGCCAACATCAGCATCACCACCACTGACATTGTCATCGTCAACATCAGCATGACCACCATCATCGCCATGGCCAACATCATAATGACCACCATCATTGCCATGGCCATTATCAGCATGACCACCATCATCACCATGGCCATTATGGCTGTCAAAACTGTGATTTGGAAGACATGTACATCTTTGCAAAAGACACAGGGTAGGCTGGCATGTCTGTGGTTCCTGGAAAGCATCAGGTGCCTCCTCTCCCTCCCTGGGTCCAGGCTCTGAGTGTCAGCCTGCCCCGCTCAGGGAACCCTGGCCTTCCCCAGGTCTCCATCAGAGGCCTTGCCTTGGGGAAGAGCAACCACTTCCCAGAAGGAGCTCATGCTGAGTGCAGCTGGGTTGTGCTGAGACTTCTTCCTGTCTTCTCTCTCTTGTCTGTGGCTTCTCACTATCCTCCTCCTCCTTCGGGCCGAGTCCCCTGGGCAAGCTCCCTTAGCCCAGGCCTGCACCCACTTGCTATGCAGGTTTGCTGATCTGCACAGCACTGTGTGCCCTGCGAGCAGAGCTCAGCAGAAGACTGTGAGAATCTGAATGTCTCATGTTAGGAGGACTGGTAAGTCAAGTCTGATGTGCACACTCCCGGCTCTCAGGCAGCCATTACAAATATGGACCAACTCTCATGCACATTGAAACAAGTTTTGTTCCCCTATGAGATCTCAGTCTTAGCTTCTCATTTCAGTGGAAATGAGTGGGTTTTTGGTGTTATCCACATTGAGTTTAATTGACATTTAAAGTGTCTTTAGATCTCTCTATGTACTATGATTCTGTAACCAAAAGCTCGGTGCCCAGAAAGGCATGGAGAGGGTCTGATATACGATAGATCCACGTCTAAATAAGTCAAAAGAGCCTTTCTAATAGGCATAAAAACAGTTCTGGGAGAGAAAAGTGCTTTGGATCATTGTTTAGTTTACAGTGTTTATCTCATTCTTAGTGGGACATGATTTAATAGCCACCTTATAATTGTACCATACGGTCATAAGACACAGTACACAAGGCCTTTGTAATACCACAATAACTTGGTCAAAAACTTCAAATGGCAAATGTAGTATGATCACAAGTTTTAAAAAATGCGACACTAAGTAAAACAGGAAAGACTAAGAAAAGAAAGACTAGAACACAAGGAAGGAAGAAGGAAGGAGGGAAGGAAGGGAGGGAGGGAAGGGAGGGAGGGAAGAGGCACAGTCCAGGTCCAGGGGCCTGGATCTGAGCGGTGGAGTGGTGGGAGCCTTGCTGCCTGCTGGAGAGAAGGGGAAGCACTCCTCACGTGGGCCCATCACCCCACGGGCAAACTCCCCTACCCCTGGGGGTGCATCTAGACCCTAGAGCACTGTGGGGCACCCCCCAGGAGCAGGAGGGAGCGGCCTGCGGCCTCTTCTTGACCACCAGAGGGAAAGCCTGGAGGGGCAGCTGGAGACTGCTGCCGAGAAGTGCTCAAGGAAGGACAGGGAGGACGGCTGGAAGGGCGGGTTCCTAAAGGTGCCCACAGCGGGCGCTGGAGGAGGGAGAGCCGCAGCAGAGGGGATGGGGGCACCTGGGCAAAGGAAGCCCCGGTGACGGTGAAGACGGACAGAGAGGGAAGGGGATGAGTGAGGGGGATGAGGACATCTGTCCTTGAGTGCACCAGCCTCCTCTATCTAGCCCCGTCCCTATGAGAAAAATAAGAGCCATAATAAGACGGTGCTCGCAGATATCCAGTAGTGGTCAGGAGGACAGGTCTGGGAACCATCTTGCTTGCACTCAAGTCCTCGGCCTCAGGTTACATGTAGGACAAGGACATGCAGCACTCCTCTGTGGGTTGTTGGGAGGATCCGAAGCGTTCTCCCAGGTAAACAGCCGGGGTGCTGGGTGGAGCACACATGGCGTGCCAAGGCTTGCTACCTGCTGAAACGTCGCCATCTTCACCGCCGTAGTCATCGTGACTTTATTTATATCTTTGTAAAGGACCAATAGCTCTTGGATAGTCATAGGGGAGACATGTGTGTTTACATAGGAAGTGCACAAAGCATAAGTCATCGCTCCCCAGGGGGCCTGGCCATCTACCCCTGGTAGCACCGGGCCATGACCTGCAGCAGCTCTTGGATGGACATGGCCTCCCTGGGCAGGACAGTGGTTGGTGACAGAGGTGGGGGGAGAAGCAGGACAGAGGCAGTCCCAGTGGCACACGGCAGGGTGACCTGTGGATTTCTGAGCACCGCAGCCAAGCTCCCCTTCCCTGTCCTTCCAGCTTCCAAGCACTGAGATGCAGGGCTTCTGAAACATCTCTCTTGACAGCCAAGTGACCAGTGACCAGCCGACGTGAGGGGTCCTGGGCACAGGGGCTCGGGCACATGCCAGGGTCCCAACACACCCCACCGCACCTCAGTTGGGGCAAACA